TTCTGTGTATCGTATGCTGCGAGTCGATCGGGGCTGACCAAACGAGTCCCCGTCCGTCCCCGTGGTGCCTACAGGCGTTCACCGCACACCAGTCTATGTATATGAATGTATACTGACCGTCCAAACATTTTTCTCGACGCCTCGTAGATACCAACAGCTTCGAAAGGGTTAAGTAGACGGTAATCTGCACGGTAAAATTACAAGTAGAATAGAACGGTGCGTGACAGTAGTCTCGCTCCGGAAATTCCACTTTTGTCGTACGTTCTATCGGGTCGGTGACGCGAGTAGAAAATTGATATATGTATGCACGGAGCGATATCTAGTGGAAAAGTGTACGATATCGTGATATTCCAAGTAGCGCGAGCGAAAGGACGCGCGCCATCGAGAGTGATTCAAAAGTGCTTTCCCGTGTTCCTTAACTAACCGTTCGTCGGTCCCGTGGACGCGTCCCATCGCGCCGCGACGACCGACCATACCCCGCCCCGCCTGCCCCGTACGATCCTGACAAGGACCAGGCTAAAGGTCCTTCCCCTTTCTGTCTCTCTCTCACTCTCTACTCTTTCGATGTTCCGCGTTTCTCGCACCTGCCTGCACCTTACCTACCCCGCTTTCCATACCATCTCTTAGTTTACCCTCTCTATTTTTACACTCTCACTTTTATCTCTATGCAAGTCGTAATAGAAATTATCGGTCTTCTTTATCCTCCAGCCCCCATAAAATAACCGTTATTTTCAAGTTAGCAACAACATTTACATTTACGTTTCTAGTTTTTCTAAATAGAATTATCTTGCATGCTAATTCACGTGTTTCGCGGTTTTCGAGAGAGATTCGTGGCTTGGTTGTCTAAGCAACGCGAAGGCAACATGGTCAGGACTGCGCAACCATTGGGAAGCCTCCGAAGCAGTATATCATCGTTAAAGGATTGTAAAAGATGCGCCTCGGATTCTCTCTATTCCCTCTACATTTTATCTCTATCTCTCTCTCTCTCTCTCTCTCTCTCTGTCACCGTGCGATAAACCTTTATTCTCGAAACCAAAAACGATCTACCTAACTTTGGACAAATTTATCCGAAATATGTATTATATATTTTCGAAATGAAATAAATTTAAAAAAAATAACATAACATAAAAGAAATATTTGATTTTCAAACGACGCGATTCTACCAGACCATACTTTTCCTTAAAACACATCTATGCGACGAGATTCGAACCATTCGATTCCCGACACCATCAGCCTCGCGCAATGGGACCCGTATGTATAATTTACCGGAGGACCAGTCGCGTACACGGTCTCTGTATCTCGATTAGAATTTCTTTGAACCTTTGTAGCACGGTTCTGTACGTCTTTGTGTCTGTCTGTGTCTTTCAGCTTGAATTCTCGTCGGCCGATGCGGGCTCCTACAGGCAAACGACCGACCACCGCGATACCCCGATTCCTCTAACAAACTATTAACGCTAAATCTAAAGGTTCCACCCAACAAGCCCACATTTCGGTCCGATCGAAAAACATTTCTCACGACCCTTGATAACCGATCGATCTAATACCATAACCCTACCCTACGTTTATCGCGTCATGTTTCGTCCCGTTAGCTCTGAGAGAAAAGTGACCGGCCGACCGGAAACGCAGCACCGTATAAATTACAGCTTCCCTTGGATCCACGAAACAGCTACTAGATTCGGTATAAAAGTCTAATTACCGATAAATGTAAGTCGTCGTAAAAGTGGATGACCATTGTCTCCTTACCAGTTTACGCGCTACATTAAAATTAATTCACCATCGCGTCACGTTGGGTCGATGATTTTTTCAGATGCCGATACAATAATCAAAGTTTAAACTCTGTTCGATCGATTAGTTGTCGTTACGGTTAATTGTAATTAGTGTAGGGAAAATTGATGGAGGCGGCATACGTGTAACGTTCGCGTTAATTATCTGACATGTTTAGCATGCATTACGTCTACGTGTACGAGGTAACAGCAGCGTATCCATCCTGCCCTTCTACTTCCACGGCTGTTACGCTCTAGCTACAGTCCATCGCGCGCGCCCACGCCAGCTAATGAGCGAAACGAGGAAATTTTCGGTAAGTTGCTACCACCAACTTCAAATTGGAAGGAACCCGCTGGCTGCTATTAACCCTTTTGCGCTCCGACGCCGACGCCGACGCCGACGCCGCGACGGAACGCTCAACTCCGTCATCGGTTTCGTTAAAGCAACTCCAACAAAACGCTCTGTCCTCGACGTATCGTCAATTGTTCGACCGATTTCGATTTCGATCGATTGTTAGATATTGTCTTAACGGAATTATTCTTTTAACAACAATGTTATATTTTACGAGTAATTCGCACGAATATCATCGGAATGTAAGCGTCCATCAGAGCGTATCGTTACGATTTAACCGAGATTCGTTCCGATACGGCGATCGATCGAGGAAGAACGTAACACGTTGCATTCGTAACGAAAAGAACGATTCGAATATCGTAAAAAATGCAAATACGTAGATGGTGAATGACGGTGAACAGCAACGGACATACTATACGATCGGCTGTCCGAAATAATGCATAGAACGTGGAGTGCACGTAACGGAATAACAATTTCCTACTGCATTAATTAGAGGTCGACGAGGCGTGAAATCGAGGTTTACGAAGCGTCAACTAGTTTTACACATCGCGACGGAATAGTAACGTCGCGTCGCGTCGCATCGCGTCGCATCCGAATACAACACATTAGCTACGGCAGCGTGCCACGAGTTCTGTTCCGCGGATCGCCGATAACCAACAGATCGTTGCTTCATTAAAGAGTATCCTTTTCTGTGTGACAAACCACAAAGAATTTCCCATGTTCCTGGAAACCCGGTAGATGCAACTTGTACAGAGGTTACGACGACGTTCTGTAGAGGAAAAACGAGCGACGCGCGTTACTTTGCTAACGTTGCAATTTTAATTCGCTATAAATGTCGAAACGTCAGTTTGCAGGAATTGTGGTGTTTATTTGCGATGAACCGTGTAATGACCGGCAGCGGTCAATTAACACTTTCAAGACTAGAGTGTGTCGCGCGGATCGCACACGAGGAACGGGGATCATCGTGTATGCAGGTATCGAGGACTATGGGCGTGCACGTTACACGCGAAATAGACACCTGGAATTGGCGTTTTTGTTTCCCGATATCAATTTCGAAGCGACGATGAAAGGCTTTTAATTGGGGCTGGCGATGCTGCTGATGGCGACTGAATCGACCAGCGTCGCTAGTTGAACGCGATAAATGCGAATGTCTCTGTCGCCGCACGAAAATTCCGTGAACCGAGTCGGTCGTGTCAAAGAATTCGACTCTATCTTTTTTCCTTGTTAAATACGATACGATTAGAAATGAACTCTTCCGCGGTGACAGCTGCTGCTCGTAATATACTAAAAATAATACCAAAAGACAATTAAATGTATAATACTCGATAAACAAGAACGATTAATAAAACGTAGACGTGAACCGCGAGACAAAACACTGCTGCCTGCCGCGATCGTCGTAACCTATCCACCATTCGTGTCGCGTACAACAGAATATTTTCTGGTCAATCGACAAACGATCCCATATACATACATTTTATGTATTTTTGCCAGTGACACGACGTTTTTACCGTTTAGAGGTTATAATTAATAACCGCTTTCTAAACCCTCTTAAAATATACATACATACATACATACATCCATCGAATTTGAACTGGAACGATCTGTACGATTACGTGAAATTCTAAATGTTCGATAAAACAAATATTCGAAATACCTTTATCATACTGGTACAAGAGTGTTTCCCGTGATGATACGATAGCTAGCCGTTCGATCCTAATAACTTCCTAATCGGTGCTACCGGGAATCGTTAGATTTTACCGCACACATACATATGTATTCTATTGCAAAGTTATTTTGATCGATCGCGAGAAGTAAAATGGTGAAACGACTTGACCATGACTCCATCTTCGTTTGAATTTCATCCTAGAAAAAGCAACAGAGACGGGACTTGTTGTCCATCTGGCGACTAAACGATGAAACAGAGAAGTAACATTCGAGCGATAACTTCGTTGGACGGTACTTGATCTTTGAATCGCGCATAATCACTTTTGTTCGTTATCGAAATAACAAACACTTACGTAAGTATGTAGATCGGTCGTGGCCAAAGTATACATATACATATACACATATGTACGTATGTACGAAACGAATGAGAAAATTGTTGTTACAATTTCTGGTAGGAGGATTTTACGAGGTTATAAAATTGTTCGAAAGTGCGAAGCGAAATGGTCGGTTCTGTCTCCCGTGATTCGTGTTTTACGCGCGATTGCGACGATGAACGATCGAGCATCCGAGATAAATTGGTTAAAATTAAACTCTGGCAGAAACTAACAAAGGCGAAGGACGGGTAGAGAAAGGATGACGAGAACGGTGATGGGTATAGAGACGAAGCGTAGAATGGGGAATGGGCAAACAGTGCGCAATTAACGTTCGACCATTAAATATGTACGCGGGGTTGCTGCGCCACGATACGTGTGCAGGCTAGCGGCGGCCGGGCGCACATACATCGGCTGGCTATCGAACGCTCGCGCGCCACTACCGATCTCTTCTTGCAGCCTGTTGGCACAGCCGCTTGATTAGTTCCGCCATATTTACATATCATTAGCCGAGTGTTTGTTCGAGCCGAGGATTCCCCTCTCGCGCGCGTCACCGTTATTCGTCAATATGGGAAATAAAACTTATTACGCCGGTCAAAATACCGTATCGACAAAAATCGTTCTCACGAAAGCTATTTTAACGTATATGTATGTACTTATGTAGAATATACGCGAGCGGTACATTTATCGTCCTGTAAATTCGAATCAATTTCTCCGACCAATTAAATTCGATCTAGTTAAAATAGCTTCGTGTTTTTCTTCGTCAAGAGAACGCTGACCGCGTGCAATCAGAAAACTCTACATATAATCGGAAATTTATTACATTTCAGTTTCACTTTATTCATAAAAATACGAATTTCGATCTTAATCTCGTTGCCTACATTGCATAACAATTTTCTCTGTTTTCAGCTTTTCTTATTTTATACACTAGTCAAATGTATTGGACACAAAAGCTGACGGTAATTGCCGCGCGAGAAAAAAAAAAAGAAAAGAAAACGCAATAAATAGATTAACGAACTTGCTTAATTTATGAACGCCCAATTCTATGATCGGGCAAATTATCTCGTCGATAACAACATCGTGGTCAGTTATCGGTGTATAAGTCGTAACGTTCGGCACAATGTAATTGATGAAAGACATCCGCCTATGACCGCGGAGTGAAATGTAGTGAATACTGCCTACATCGATACATCGAAGGAAATGCTTGCGAGCGAATTTCCGAAAAATTATACGCTAAAAATAATAACGACCTTCTCGCTCTCGCTCTCGCTCTCGCTCTCGCTCTCCTTCCTTCTTTCTCTAAGCATTCGCTTCGATGTAAAATATTTTTAAAAAGTACGGCTCTTTTACGCTTCGTTCGCAAGAAACCGTATCCGAATCGTACAATTAAGGTGGTACGTTACTTCGATAACGTTTTATCTACTTGTTAACGTACACGCAATCTTAACGCCTAAGTTTTCGATTACGGTAACGCATCATTTTGATTAACGTTTTTACTTCCCTCGCATCATCCCACTTAATTTCAATATGGCGACATCCAAATCAGTCTATTTAATCGTACACGCGTCTCGTGCATATCCGTAGAAATTATTGTAAAAAGTACCATTTTTAAATTACTATTAAGGCAGTATGGTAATATGACTCGGCTTACGTACGTAGACTTCCCTTTCAAGTCTTTCTGTTCTTTCGCAGATCAGAATCTGTCAGATATGTGCGTGTTTCGTACACGTCGGTATTGCAAATGAACAGTGTTTTAATTCGACAACTCGGCCCCCTGAAATAATTTTACAGCGTACAAAGTAATTCGGTAGCAATTTTATCGATCGACCATGAAAACGTATACCAGCGCGTAAGCTACACAAGCGAATCGGTATCTATGTATGTATATTAATTTTTCAATCAATTGCATAATGTTCAATAGGAAGAAACTCGAACTTGGTCCTCACGTATGTAGGTTCGTTAATTATCACGAAAAGAACAAGGAAAACGGCTAACGGGCAATAATTAATAAATAAACGAACGGATAACGTAGATGATGATGATGATAATATTACAATCGCAAAGTAATTTTACCATCTGTATAGAGTGAAACGTAAATGGTACTCGATTACCATCGTTATTATCGCTGTTGCAATCGATATTGTTCATGTAGAAACGATTACAATTGTTTCACAAGGTAACACAGAAGGGTTGAAACTGCCTACAAAGATCTGCAGCCGTTACGAGTAACCCAATTCTTTCTTTCTCTAGATAAGTAACAGACACAAATGCAGTACTGAACATGTACAAGTTTGAGAAACTCTGAAAAGTATGTACGTACAGTAACTCCTCGATTAAAATTGCTAACTCGACCCGCTTGGAAACTTTTAACTAACGGTTAACGTAGGCAATTTCCTAACCGGAATTTACCTTTTTTATCTTAATCTCGAATAAATTGTCGTGTGTACCGCCTGTCGAGGAGAATAAAGAACAAATACACCGAGTGCGTACGAAATGAATGGTTTTTTTTTTTTTTGCTTTCTTTTCTTTTCTATTTTTCTTATATCTTCGTGGCAGCTAATCGGCGAACTTTTCTCGGTGAAAATTAATTTAAACGTTCTTCTTCTTTGTACTATTTATAATTATACATTATCCGAATCATTTTTCTCCAAAAATTTCAATCGCATATAATTAAAAATTGTTCGAACAAAGTCGTGTTTGGGCTAATTTAAAAATATACAAAATTCGATTGTCGTCGGTGGATTAACTTGAATCCCATCCGTGTATTTGACCACTTTTGTCTGATTGTAAGACTGCTAGCCTGTCGCTACGAGTCGACGGGGGGTAACGCGCGACGATAATTGGTACCTTTAACGTGGGGAGTTACTGTATCTAACGAGTGCCTTGAACGTAAGCAACCAACCAACCAACCAACCAACCAACCAACCAACCAACCAACCAACCAACATCAATCAATGAGAGAAAGAAAATATCTAGCAATGAGCATAAACGACGCGTTAATACCGCATTCATAGGTAACTAACTCTAACTAGTGGCAGCATTGCTACAATCAGTTTCCAGCATAGCTGATTCGAACTGTTCGAGTACCTGCATGCTCTCCGGGGACACAGCACTAATGCCCAAACGTTCTTTGTATCCGTTTCCGGACAGTCGTCGGCGAGAATACTCGATAGTGTCGTTCATCGCTTGTTCGGGAGTATCGCTGTCGCTCGTACTGCTAACGCTGCTGCTACTGGTTGACCGTCTGCCACTGGATAAGTCTTGTCTCTCGGTATCAGCCTTATCGTCAGGAACTGAGACCTCGTTGCGAAGCTCTAAGAAATTGCTTTGTGCGTTACAAAGGGATGCAGCAGAGTTTTGCCGATCCCTTCGATCGTTCGATACAATTTCCGCGAGAGATGAGATGCGCCTCGGGTAAGAAGTCGCATCGGTTCGACACGTACCGACCATTGCATTATCCTCCTCGTCATGATCGGTTTCGCGTTCGATTCTAATATACGCATTAGCACGTTTACGTTCATACGTAATAATATCCGACGTTCGTGTCAACGAATTCGAAGTGGAATCAAACGTATCGATGCTCTTGCTGGTTACAACATTCTCTTTCTTTTGCCCCTTCTTCGCTGCGATTCTGTTCGACAGCCAACTGGTCTGTTTCACCTCTCGATCGGTGAAATCATCTTCAAAGTTGCCGGATAACAAGGAGGGCCTCCTGGTAACGAACTCGTTGCTATTTGTATCCTCATCCGCGGTTTCACCGATATCGATCTCGTTCTTCTCGGAACTAGTGCCGCTCTTGTATACTAGCTTTGCTCTAGGTGGCGCTGGTAGATGCGCTTCTTCCAATTTCACGTGCTCGAAGAATTTTGTGATGGCACCGCGCTGCGACTGGACCGGAGATTCGTTTCGCTCGCTTGACTCCAACTGGTAGTCTTCGTGATACAATTGTTGCCGACCAAGGCCGGAGTCTTTGTCAGCTGCGCCGAAATCTCGTGAGTCTCGAGAATGATCGGTGACGATATAGGACTTGTTATGGCCTGCGAACAATGAGTGGAGAAGACCACCGGTTCTTGGCCTGTACTTTGAACGACCACTGTACACGGTTGCCTCCTCTGGCTCGAGTGACTTTGTGATTTGTAATTGTTTATCGGATTCGGCACTATCGCAGGAAGGTAGTAGGATTTCTGCGGCTCGGACAGATCGCAGCTGATTGATACCGAATTTATTCCGTGACTGTCTCGCCCTGGACTTTCGTCCGTTGAAAGACGATCGTTCCAATTGATACTCGGCTGTAATGGAGAGATTCTCGGTGTCGATGATACGGTTAAGCGCGGGTACTGCGCGATTTGTTTGTTTTTTACGGTTACGAGCGACGACGGTGTCGGACAACTGCTTGCTGCCGACGAACACAGAAGAGTGGGCGACTGAGATTTCGGTCTGAAGGCGAGAGCTGTAGCCTGATGTGGTTGGCAACTTATAATTGAACATTGTGGCGTGACTTTGGTCTTCGGAAGACTGACTTGACCTTCTGGCTGGTTCTGTGATCTTCTTGACGATGAGGTATGACTGATGTTTCTCGGATTGGACGCTGCTAACTGGTAGCTGATAGGTGTAGGACACTTGAGGCTCCGCCCTGTCGACATAGGCGATGCTCGATCGGGGCAACTGATTGAGGACGATGGAGGAGTACGGCACACCGGTCTCTCGTTGTTCGGTGTTGATGGTAGAGGAAGGCCCGACATCCGACTGGTTGACGGTTGATGAAGACACGCTGTTTGAGGAGATTGGGATAAGGAAGGTCGAAGAGGGTAGCTGACTGATGCCGATGGCAGTGGCAGTGGAGAATCCCCGTTTTTTCTGAGCTGCATCACTTTTATGAAGTCCACAAGACGCTTTATAGATCTCTGAGTCTTCTCCTGTTTTCCTAATAATTCCTGCCGCGTGCGATGTTGTAGCTGTGAGAATAAAAATTCAACGGTTAGTTACATAAACGATCGACAACGTGAAAACCGAATGTTAAAACTTAAACGTCACGTTGACCTTCTAACTGTTTAATATCGTAACAAAGATGAGCATGCTCTTAATAATATACACGACGTAACGAACAAATTTAATCCGAATATTTGCCGATTTTTCCAATTACGAATCTACTACGAGCGCGACTTTCTTAAATATCTTTCCATCTTTACACGAATACACTATACTCGCGTAAACTATTTAACGCGATCAAAACTATGTTCGTAACTGATATCAAATGCATAAGCAATACACAATTTGAATTTAAGAAGAAGAAAGGATGAAACATTAATATCACTTTTTTGCAGAAACATTAAAGTCGGAACTGTTCGTGAAGGAAGCATCGTGCATTCCGTGTTTTCACGGATCAACGAATACAATTATTGCTGTAGACTCGTACAGTGCACGCGATTAAATATACACACATTGTATAATGTACAATCTAATTGAACGTAACCAACCAATTTGTGTTGCGCATAGACTCTACAGCAATAACGTTAATACAAGTTACAAGATGCCAGAGATAAATCGATTCTTCGGAAGCTGGAGAATCAATATCCGCTAGAACGAAAAAGAATCGATTTGTCTTGGGTGAAATAATATTCAAAACGAAAAAGACAAGGAGAAACGTAGAGATCTTGCAGGTTCTCACCGATGAAAAAACAAAAGAGATGGAAAACATTTGCGTACAATTTCATTAAATGAACAGCATTCCAAATCAAAATAAATATTTATGAATTTCTTTCTACGCAGGCCACAGGACGAACCTGAAGTGACTGGCCGAGTAGTTGTGAGCGTTTTTCCAACTCGTAAACCTGCAATCTCAGATCCGAGTTTCGCTCGCGCAGCTCATATCTTTCTCTCTCTTTCTCCTCTGCAAGACATTTCGCGTTCAATACACGTTGCTTTTTTGTGCCCTATTACCGACGATCGACCAAAAAGTTCTTCTTAATTGCAAATTCTTCTGCCGTATTCGAGGAGCCGCCGGTCTCACTCGCGGACACTTCTTCCGGCAGGCTGCTCTCTCGTTTATTCTCTCTGTGTGCTTACGCTCAATAAAGTCTGCGGCAACGCTGCGATACCTCGTTGCACGTTAAATCTAGAAATTGTGGACCCATGTTACACAATTTCCTGCTCTTCGTTGGTACAACGTGCTTGCATTATCTACTTGTTCACTGTGTTGTTTTTTTTTTGTTGTTTTTGTTTTTGTTTTTTTTTTTTTTTGGTTTATCATCGAAACTATATGGTAACTTTCGATTATCAAATATAACCGGAAGCGCCGCTTTGTCTCTTTCATTAAGCATATAGGATATACATTGAATGGATCCCGGATGGTCTCGCCGCGAAATGAGATAAGCGTGCCACGAACATTCATAACAAGCTAGTGTCTGCAGGAAACAAGAACTTTTTTGTCAATCACACGATCAACGTTACTACAGGTAGAAATCCTTTCAAAGACCAAGGACGATTTACCGAATTCTTCGTCATTCTTGAACGACGGGCGTCCTTCGTCGTCCTCCTCCTCTCCTTCTTCGCCATCATCGATCTCTTCCTCATCTATCAACGCACACTTGGGACATATTCTCGGCGGTGCCGGTGATATGGAATGACAGGATACATGATAATTGGATGCACAACTTTCACACACCGTAAGTGTACCTGCAGTAAGACGTAATTCGTTAATAAATATTCACGTTTCTGATAATTATATGTCGATAACTCGGCCAGTCGATTGTAACTTGGAAATGAACGAGCTGTTCTTTGGGAAGAAACGTTCACGACGTACCTGGATTTCTACAACTTATACAGACTGCCGAATCATTGCTGATCCTTTCGATAGTCAGACTGGAAGGTAAGCCTGGTATGTGTACAGCCTTGTTGCCAATCGATTGAACTGTTTTTACAGTAGGAACAGTAGGTAATTGAATTTGACTGGTCCCATTTTCGACCTTGACCTTGTTGGTGAAAACTTTACTTTCGGTTACGTTTCTAAGAATATTCGGCCTCGTGGTAGATTTCTGTATCGGGATCAAAGACTTCATCACAGTTCTCGACGACGGCGGTGAGGTTGATTTCAGCGGTAAAGCCTTTACGGGGGGTGGCGAAGGTCCGTTCATACGCGCGGTTGTTTGCCGTGTTTGCGGAACATTTCCAGATTGCAAGTACGAGTGTCTTTTCCGTTTCTGAAACATCGAAATACGTAGTTGATATTGACGAGCAAAAAAGGTGGCTTGATAAATAATAAATTAATTATACGTATAACAGCATACTGAATCAACTTACCGTTGGCACGTCTAGGCTGGAATAAACAAATTGTGGATTGGCGGTACTACGACGTTTTCTTTCGGCCCTTCTGTTCTGTAATTCGGCGCATGTTCCGGTAGTAATAAGACCAAGAACGCTCAGAAAATTAATTTTTTCAATCGACTCGAGCTTGCACTCCTTTTCTGATTCTTCTTTTTCAGACTTTTCGTTCGAATTCTCGTCCATAGAAACTTCGATAACGTCGTCCTCGCCGGAGATAGTTTCCACCGAACTTGGCCGTTCTCTAAGCACGATATTATCGTATTACTAACTCGCGAGAAATATTAAAACTAAACCAAAGTCACTCACTTTGTCCGTATATTGTTCCGAGTAGGCGATGGTACATCGCCGTTTCGAACGATTTCTTCATAGTCCTCTTTCGAACTTTTTGTACTGAAGTCATTTCCGGTAGTCTTGAGTCTCGTCTCGTCGTTGTTGTTGGTAATGTGATTATTGTTGTTCAAGCCGAGAAGCGATGCGATAGAAACTTTCGCCCCGTTCGCATTCTCCGTTTTGAACGTCTCGACCTCTTTGCGCAGCCGCTGGACAACTTGCTTCTGCGTATTAAGATTGAAAACTATGAGCACTGGTCGGTCGGTCGGTGATCTTGGGTAGAAAACTTTCTTGGCAAACTGTGTTGCAGATCGTTTAAATACGAATTCGTGCCGTCGAGCGCCGAGTAAATATATGTATATTATTAGCAAACTGTCCTATAAATTACGAAAACCGCGTCGAACCACCTTAACAGAATTCTATTATCCACATAAATAATGAAAAATAAACAAATAACAAGTATTTTACGGAAAATAAGTATCAGCCGAATCGATTATACTACATATACCTACTGATTTTTCGTACTTTTCTTCTACTTGGACGGATACCGTTCCGAGCATCGATCTCTTGGACCAACTTGCCGAAACAAAGCAACAAACACAAACAGATTTGCTTGGCTCTCGAATACATTATACCTATCTACATATACCTATCCACATATACCTATCTACATATACATACACGGAAGGTCTCGAGGGGGAAGCGAATATCGAAACAATATCAAAGTTTTTTTTAGCTAACGTTTAACGCGAAGAAACGAACGAGCGTGAAAAACGATGGAAAGTCGTCGGCAAGAAGAAAGAGGAGAGGAGAGGGAACAGGAAAATTTCGTAAAGAGCTGAAAACGTTTCTGCGGGACATTTTATTGATTGAGCCCCTCGCCGCTGCCCGGCCCCTACTCTGCTTCCTCTTCGCCAAAGTCCCATTCTCTCGCTTGCTCTATGTGCTCTCTCCCCGTCTCACACCCTCACCGGCAACTCCTGGTTCGTGTATCCGTGTGTACACCCGTTCCGTTCCGTTCCGTTCCGTTCCGTTCCGTTCCGTTCCGTTCCGTTCCGTTCCGTTCCGTTCCGTTCCGATCCGTTCCGATCCGTTCCGTTCCTTTCTTTCCCACCTCTCCTCTCGACTCACCAAACCTTGCCGTGCACCATCTTTATCCATTTCTATCCGTTTACGTATCCCCTTTGCTCCGTCAGCAATCTACCTGGATCGGTCGTTTATTACCAGCGAGAAAAACGAAGAAAAAACCGGCGGGCACAGTCACAGGGAACAAACGTATCAAGAGGGGGCTGGAGGAGGATTAGCACAGAAATGTTTAGGAAAGGACGATGCGACATAGCAAACCGCATCTACCAGGACCTCTTCGAAAGGAGTATCGATTCTTCGTAAATTTACGAGTCTCGAAAGAAACGCGTGAAAAAGCAATTTAAACACTGTACAGGAACCCCTCGAACTCTTGGCCCTATCAGCAGACCCAGCAATCATTATTCAAAGTGTTCAAAGAATCTGCAAACTAACTCAATAAATCGATACACGAATTTATGACATTCTAGGTAGCCAAGTATGAACATAGATTACCCAACAGGCGTATTCAGAGATGGTGACTCTGATATAGCGTTATATTTTACGCATATTCGAGCAAAAATTATGCAAATATTGTTCCTTAAAAGATTATATGTACTATATGTATGTATGTACATCGTTTCGTAGGAGATACCGCAGAATGGCTTTATCTTTTTAATCAAATATAAAATGTTTTATTTTTCAATGAATCTGACGTTACGCGTGCATTTAACAATAGACTGGGAATTTTTCAGAATTTTCAAAGTTTTTTGGTATCGTACGAAACAAAGATTAAAACAAAGTTCTGTGAAAATGTCACGTAAACGACAGACAAGTACGATAACAAATTGATTTTCGCACGTTGTAATATAATCGCAGACTTGACTTGTCGCCTGCCCCTCGATGATATGTAGGTACTGCTGTTTAGCATTGCCCGTAACAACATCTGCTCACCTTGGCCAGCCCAGACCCTTCAAAGTGCTACAGCCTAACATCGCTTCTGCTTTGTCCCTGAACTGTTAACACTCAACACACTCAAGGCCACTACCGTCTTCGTTCCCTACAGTTTCTACGACCTCGTTATATCGTTCTTTCGCCAAGTATACAACATATACATATGTATATCTGCTGCAAGTTAATGCAAGATCGATACGAAAAGTTGATTCGATAACGTTTAGGAAATTTTTCGCCAACATAACCTCCAACTTATATCTCATACGAATCAGCAACACGTATCGCGCAGTTTAAATAATAATATGTACTTCGACGAACATGTAATAGGGAAATGCGTGCATTAAATGAATCGACAAGCTAAAGCAAGGTCGATACACGACTTGATTTCTTAACGTATAGTGTGTACCATCGTTCTCGGGGAACATCCTAAACCTTGTCGTCGTAATTACAATGAACAAAGTTCTACGCGATCGAACAATTGCACAACTTATACACTATTTCGTTTCAATCAATTATACTAATTTTATACTAATTTTTAATCTTTCGAAAGGGTCAAACTTTCATCGACTTTATAAAACACTCCCCATTTCTTACAATTTCCCGGTAGCCAGACATTCATTAAACGCGACATCGTTCCTATTCACACGGAACGAACAAACTTAAATATGGAACGTTCACGAACACGACTGGCCTGGATCATCGCGAAAGAGTGAAGCTCGAGAAAATCAATTCTCAACTTACCTGGCATCTTCCCAACGACACGATGTGCAAGTGAATCTTTTGTATCTGATCGAGAATGTCTGTGTTCTGCAAAGCAAAAGATACACATATATCATTTTACATTACGTTCCCACGAGTATTGTGTTCAAACCGGCAATCTTTTACCATAAAAACGTAAACACGAAAATAACCAAAAAATCTTTTACTTTCTATCCATAGAGTGTAATCGACTTCACTCTACTTCGATACGGTTACAGACGTAAATATGCAACTGTCGTAGTATTACAACGATGACATAAGAATTAGTCACACACGGAAGACGATCAATTTACGCACCGCCTAACCGACACGTAACAGTCACAATCGTCTAATTATAGTTTTTTATAGTAGATAATGGCGTGTTTTCAATTAGAACGAAAATTTCGTTGTTATTATAACGAGTAACGCGAACGATTAAAAGAAATTATTAACGAATGAAAGCAATAATTATTCGGTTACGTATAAAGAAACTTTCTCTCCGAAGAATATGAACAAACTCTTGGAATACACAAGACAGATACGTTTTAATGTTCACCGACTATTAGAAAAAATATAACGAACGTTGCCTACTGACTACTAGATTAGAAAAGGTAAAATTACTTACATTCGGATCATCCTTCAATTTGCCCACGCAGATCTGTAATTCAAGCAAAAAGTTTCCGATTAATAACACCCTTAAAAATAATTACAATATTTCACTCAGAAATTCACGGTTTCGCATTCAAAACAGTAGTCGTCTCGTTGGCCATGAAATGACGCAATTTACTACAGAAACATTGTGCGTGGCTCGAGTATATTAGGAAAATTTCTAAACAAAAACAAACGAAAGAATTGTATAGTTTACATTAATTCTAAACGATTGAAAAACTTTGAAAATCGTTACAAATACTTGTCCAACAAAATACAAATAAAATGTAGTATATTAAACGTGAGATACAACATGTAGTAGTGACCTTGAAAAGTAATTTTCGTACTTTCGGAAATTCGCAAACCGATAATATTCCACAGTTGTTCCCCGACAATCGACGTATAGTTAAAATGCTCAACGAACAAGAAGAACAGACTTGTCCTAACCGATCCATAAATACACATGTAATTACGCCGCACACGAATATCAATTTAAATACTTGGCTAATTAACCTAAAACCTATTATACCTATGTATATTAGAACTTGATGCAATTCCTAATAAATGTTTGGAAAAGCGGAAAAGATTATGAAGAAGAACTGAAAATGGAACGAGCAATACCGACCGAAAGTATTTGTAACCATGATCGGAATGAAAAACTTGAATTTCGAGAACTAACGCGAGACAAGGTCGGTAGAGCAGAGCCCAATGCCGATCGTGCGCCGAGATAGTACTTTCCCCCGCGTTTCTGTTAGTTAATAAAAGTTTGCCGGTAATGGCGAAACAGGCACTCGCGTATCTATGTAAGTACGTACGATGTGATATTATCGGTTTATGTTTATATACATATTTCCAACGTACATTGGAATCCCGTTGATAAAATACTTAAACTCTATGTGCATTTGTAATGCAAGCTCATCACCGAAAAAACGTTCATAAAAGATTTCAAATACAAACAATATTTGAATTTTAACGATAACTGCTCTTTAAACGCTCGGATAGGCAATATTAAACATTTCATTTGATAAAAAAACAAAAGAATAAGGAAGAAGAAATTCCTGATACGATGAAACATAATGAAAGCTGTTTGTCAAATAAAAGTGGATGGTTAAATTAAAGTTTACGAGAGTGTTTGAAAGAAAGAACGAATTAGTCGAAGGCAAAAGTAGACAGGAGAAAGAGAAGAAACGCGAGAAAGAAGGAGAGAGAGAGAGAGAGAGAGAGAGAGAGAGAGAGAATAGGACTATGGGAGTTAAAACAAATGAGAGAGAGAGAGAAGGGGGATCAACCGAACAAGTGAGCAACTGGACGAAGGAGGAAGAGAGACAGAATGTTGGTTCTCAAAGTCATGCGACGCATCGGTCGAAGCACTCTACCACAAAGGTTAAGGTCTGAACACTGGTTCACCTTCGAGTTTGTATGATTCGTAAGAAAAAATAACCACTGCTCTGTTGTACATACTTGCACGATAATTTAAAGCAAGTAAAAGTTCCTTCGAAACTTGCGTTACGATTCTTTCGTTTTTCATAACAAAAAATATTTTTGTCCGTGCAGTCCAAGATGGAACTATTTCACAAATGCTCGGTAGTACATACAAGTGAAAAGAACGTTGAGTTACATTTCTTAATTAAACGTATTTGTCACATTAACTCAGTTTACGTTAGTGTTTCACGCTAATTGGACATCTTTGATCACGATGATTGTTTCACGAATCTTGGAAGAATTTACGTTAAAGAAACGAGTTCCGTAAATACAGTATAGGAGGTACATATGCATTTATGCACGCGCGCGCGTGCCTTGTGCGTACATGCGTTCATGCACGCATTGTGCGTGAGAATGTCAAGAAAATTGGAGTAAAGATGTGCATGTAAAAAAAATTTTGATCGTGATCAATCACCGATTACTTTATAACCTTTTCTAGGAAATAACTAATTTAATTTCGCAAGATACGAATTAAATATCTTCGAAAACTTTTCTCACTTTATCCGTCGATTATTTATCGAACGCGTTACCTAGATTTTTCAATCGATAGACGACAACACGCGTATAATGGAAGCAAAAAGTTGTTGGTCGGGCAAGAATCATTCGTTAACTTACTCGCTTACTCGTTCCTTCGGCTTCTCGTACTCTCAATCTTTAAATCGCTATCGACATACATGCATGCACAGTCGCGGAACTCACCTGATGATCGCGTATGGCATTTTTCAGCTTATTTTGCACGGCAAGAATTTCTGCTTGCAAACTCTTCGATATCTCCATATTTTTCTTATATGCGATTATTCGTTTTTCCTCCCCGTTCAAAAATCCGGCCGATTTTAGCGAGAGAAGAGGAGGACGGGAAACCCCTCCTCCCTCTCACTCTCACTCTCCCACCAAATTGACGAGAACAGCGGTATACGCTCCGATCAACCGCACGCACGGCGCGCACCAGCCACCAACTTTTCGAGCCACCGCGACGACACTTGACCGTTTTAACTTAGGAAAATCGAACAGGTAAAAATGTCACAGACGCACTTTGTCACTTCGTTACAGACGTACATATGAATATCCTTGTTTCACGACACTGAACGGACGAAATAACGTCGTGAAACCGCGTACCAAAGCGAATTGTTCGCTCATCAACGAGCGTCTGTGCTGCCACCAGCACTGTTGCCTCCGTACACGGACGTGCCAAGTTGCTCGAGATCCCCCGACACCCCTGGCCCGTACTCTCGATCTTTCTCTCTTTCTCCCTCGCCCTTTCTTCTTCCCTCACGTTGCGTTGTATGCCCAGGGATCCGACGCGCTCCTTGAAAGCGAGTTTTCGCGCCAAGCTTGTACAACCGGTATCTACGATACGTGCAACAGCCACCCAATTTATGTTTACAATTTTATTCAACTTGTATTTTCGTTCGCGTTCAACAACCAACACGAGTTACACTCACGAATTTACAAAAACACAGGACGTTCGAGGAAAAGATTTTCTCGAGACAAATCTTTTACGATAGTGAACGTTGGTAATGCCGACGATAGTGGCGCCACATATTTGCGATTACGAAACGAAACTAAACGAAACTGCGTTCACGATAGGAGACAAGCGTACTTACTCGTTCCTCGAAGCCGGAGACGCGTTTCGGAATTTCTGCGCATTTGAAGACACGTCTTAATAAATGGCTACACTTATTAGGCACATTAAATTACATTAATAGTTATACCCTTGCTACGTTCCTTTTACTTATATTCATTTATTTTTCTTGCACATCCCACTCGACATAACGAATTACATTAAGTCGTTTATGGACGTATTTTCATTAAAACCACAAAACTAGTATATTTACTATGTTATACATTTAAAACTTTAAAAATCAGACTTTTCGCATGTACGGTACGATCAGAATGAAAATAATGTGTAACACTTATTTCATACTATAAGTTGCTATACTTGAGAAACAGTATTATTAATTTGTTGTACGATTTTTCTCTTTTCCATAAACTATTACATAATATACCAATTTAATGCATCTGTACCAATTGAATGCGTTCTTAACATTGGACATTTCATATATAAACTAAATATTAGTAGCTTCTACAGGAAATATAAATATGTATATACAAGAGTGTGAAATTTAAATCGATCATTTGCACACGATAGCAGTACATCACGTGATCTTTCATCACACACACACACACACACATGTGCAAGATATACATACATATAGTTTAACGAATAGATATAAATGTACTTGCACAGAAAGATATCAGAATATCTTTACCTCTTTATTCGTGGAAGAGTACTTCTATCGTAAAAATGTATTGGTTATTCTCTACACTGACACACACACACACACACACAGTTACCTTACAATTTATGTTGAATGTAGAACTTCCCTTCAAATATTTCTTTACAAGAACCTAAATGTTTACAAAACAGCAAATATTAAAAATATTACTTTGACGGAATACGTTGACGACAACTTTTCCTAAACCTTGAAATGTATCTGCCATGATTCTAGATTATACTTATGATTGATAATCGCGTATTTAATAATAATCAAACCTGAATCACCCAATTAGATATAAAAGTTATTAATGTTTTTATGTAATTTATATCACTTCGTAGCGAATTTGAATCTACATATTTTGATAAATATAATAGAAGGAACAATCGTTAGACAAAAATACATATATGCTGCTGGTTCATAATGATTAGTCTGTCTAAAATTGCTTCAAGCAAAGTTGCGTTACTTTATTGTTGCCCGTAGATTAAGTAACATGTTCACATCTGATACACATTACATGAATAAAAACTAAAATTATTATAATAATTTGACGTTTAACCTTTTAACAATTGGTTTGTTCATTGAATGTAGTAGGCATAGTAGTTGATTACGCATGCGTGAACCTTAAAAAATTGTGTTCTATCGTTCAAGTCTGTATGATTTCTTATGTACGTTAACCATATATACCACGATACAAGTGTAATTAAATTCATTTCAATTAGTTTCTTTATAGCGGTAAATTTATTAAATTAAACGCTGTACCTCCATTCAATTACTATTTCAAAAATAGAAAAATCAATATCGTTGTATTTGAAAGGCTAAGAGGTTACATTGAGAATATTTCTTTTGTTTTATTTACAAGATGCATTCATTCCTTGTTTTAATTAATAAATACGTTTTTATAATTATTTCTTCGAAAAACAATTGTAAAATACATCTTACAAAAAAGTATTAAATAAGATGCATACTATAGATTATAACCTTTTCAACAATTAAACATTTTTATATTTTATTTTTTCTTTTGCTTAATAGCGTTAAACATGTCGGCTAAGAGATCTGCGACTACAGAATTAAATCGTGATAATTGGAACGAAGAACATGAACCTGAAGAAGCAGGAACATTTACAAAAGCACCCGATGATATACTCGAGAAAAGAGTTGTTAAAAGGGCTAAACGTCGTTTACAAGCCACAGAAGTAAGTAACACTTGGTTTTTTCTATTTATTAATTTCAAATCTTATAGATTTCTCTTTGATTATTTTTCAGGATAACACCAAAAGTACGTTCGGTACATTTTCAGGTTTTAAAGCAACATCTACGTCGCACAATTCACCGTTTAGTTTTTTAGCTAACAGTAATACTTCCGACGCATCTTTAGAAATGCATGCACCCATCGACAAATCTCCTGCAAGTAACGGAGCATCGAAAGGTAACGAAAATGGCACAAATAAGAAAGAAAATTCTGAAACGCAAACATCATCCAGCACAATTACAAGTAAAAAAAGTTCTTACGACCAAGAAGATCAAAATATATTTAAAAAATCTTCTGATTATTTTGCCAAGTTAAAAGGATTGAACGAAAGTGTAGCACAATGGATTAAAACTCATGTAGATGCAAATCCATTTTGTATTTTAACACCTATTTTTAAAGATTATGAAAGATACCTTAAGGAAATTGAATCCAAACATGGAAATGGAACTGAAAAGACAATGCATACGTCAGAGCCTGGACAACCTGTACATACTAGCGATAGTAAGGAAAGTGCAAACACAGAAAAGAAACTTGTCAATTCTCCATTTGGAGGAACAAATACAAAGTCTCCGCCGCTTTCAACAGATTCAAAGTCAGAAAAATCAATCTTTGATCTATATTCATATAAATCTATATTTGGTAAATCGGAGCACACTGTAGACAATAGTAAATCGATTTTTAGTCATTCGGAACAACCTACGGATCCACATAAATCTGTTTTCGGTAACAGAGAACAAAAAGCTAGTACTAAAAATATATTTGGTAATGTTAGCTCTGAAAAAAACCCATTCCTGAGTAAATTATCTACTGTCTCGGATAATAAATCAGAAGATCAAGAGTCAAAATCAGATACAAAATCTACCGGTAGTTCTTTCGGTACAGCCGCTACTTTTTGCTTTGGTCAGAGTTCTACTACCGGTAACACACCAACTGGTTTTAGTTTTGGAAGGTATTTTCTTTAATCCTGGCAGTCATTTTGCCCATGACAAATAATTATTTCAACAAAATTCGAACATTTTGATATTGTTGTAATTTGTAGTGCTAAACCATTTACGTTTGGGGCTCAAGTTGTAAAACCACAAGAGTCTGAAGATAAGTCAGAGAATGAAGGAAAAGATGAGAAAGATGAAGAACCACCAAAAGCAGATTTTAAGCCAGTAACAGAGGAAGGTGCTATATACGAACAAAGGTAATATAATCTATAAAGGTATAACCTGGAGTAAACACGATTGTAATAACGCTTTTTATTTGTATTGTACTTGTTTGTAGGTGTATAATTTTTATGAAGAAAGATGGTAGTTTTACTAGTAGAGGTGTTGGAGTACTGTTTTTGAAACCAACGCCAAATGACAAAATGCAATTAATAGTACGTGCAGAGACTTCCCTGGGAAATTTATTGCTCAATACTTTGTTAACTAAAAATATTCCAACAAGACGTATAAATAAGAACACAATAATGGTGGTTTGTTTACCAAAACCTGAATCTTTACCACCGCCAGTATCAGTCTTGTTAAGAGTAAAAACAGATGAAGACGCGGATGCATTGATCGATGCACTCAATAAACATAAAAAATGAGGAGAATAATAGGTAATATTTGAATTTGCAAAAAATAAGCGTGTTGGCTTTACAACGCAATTAAATAGGACATATGTGAGGATATACTGAAATAATTTTGAATGGTGACTAATGAATAACACAATTTTACTGTTGTTCAATATAAATTTTCTGTTTATTGTAATACTTTTTACTTTAATTCTTAGTATAAAGTATCCTGTAAAATAAAACTAGAGAAGTAAAGAAAATTTATTCCACTGCACGGAATATACTTTGAACTATGATTATTATAGGTAATATTTTACATACGGCCATAAAGATAACTTGTTATTGAAAATAATGTCCATACTTGAATTATTTACATTAATTTTATGTATGTAATCGTGGGTAAATGTATGTTATATTAAAAATGTAATCGTTGCGTGAAATATTAATGTAACATTGATAGAAATATATTAATTACATTAATGCAAAGTTAGATTGAAATTGATTAAATTTCTATCAATATTTTCCTAAAACTAAAAAATTGATAACTATTTTGAGATGCGTTGCAAAGACATTAACTTCACAAGTTTTAAATAAATTCGTACATTCTGTTACATATTGTAAATTATCAATGTTTGCAAGTTCCTACCTTGAAGCAATTAAATATTTATACCATTTATGATGTATTTACAGTTTATTTTTCAATGTTAGTACATATAGCTAATATACAGAACTATCAGAAATTATATTAATAATATATTAATTTGTTCAATTATTTATATATATAAAAGAGAGAGAGAAAAAAAAGAAGCGAATTTTTACAAAATAAAAATAGAATTTAAAATTAATAAATTTTTTATACGAAGTTTTTGAAAGCTGCCACTGTAGAACATGCATACTCTATTTACAGCATTGTATTAATGTAACTTGGATTTAGTCATTGATAGATAACTTCGTGTTGTATTTAAATTGCAAAGCTGACATGTAAATCTTTCAAACGTGAACATTTTTAAACGTTTAATGCAAAATAACAGCACAGCATAATTACCCTAAAACGCATCTATAGAATGCAGCTTGGAAAAACATTTTTAGAAACATCGTATGTACAGAAATAGTGTAATACACATTTGTATTCTACTAATATAGGTACTCTTTAATAATGATATGCCCTATACAAAATATAATAAAATAAAGTTCGATTTTCTTATAAAATATTCAAGTGTGTTACGTTCTATATCGTGTTTTAGTAATGTATGTACATCTGTTAAAAGTATTGCGAAGATTACTTTTACATTTGTTAAGCCCTTTGGGCCATAAATGGTGTTAAAGCACCTCTTTGTCCGAGACCTAATTGTATATGTTGCATATGTATTTCGACACAATTTTGAAAAACTTGTTGATTTTGTGGACTCAGTTTTGAACGTATTTGTTCCATAGTGCCCTGTAATACTTTTAACTCGTATGCATTTCGATCTGAATCGGATAGACTCTAAAACATAAGAAAAATTTTGTATAAACAACGATGCCCAGAAAATAATTATTTTATTAAAATATTAGTTAATATTACCTTCACTTGAAGCATAAGAGCGGTTAAATCTGTTACCAATTGCGTCATTTTTCCAGGCTCTTTGTCATTGACGGTATTATTTCTAGCGACCATATCTGCAGCTTCTTGCCTACATTTCTCGCGAAGGTGAGACGGGGCTAGCATAGCAGCCACGCTCGGTTCAGGAGCCATTTCTTGACATAACTCTTGGACATCGTTAAGAAAGTCCTGAAGAGCAGTATTCATCTTCTCTAATTCAACCACAATTCTAACATAAACATGAATATGTATAAGAAAATATTTCTATAATAACATACATTAATATAGTAATTAAGTACCCTGCGTATCTTCTTTCAAAATCTGGTGAAAGTGGTTCCCCAAAAGATCGTCTTTTTTCTGCTTCACTGTTCATCTCTTTTAATTTTTTAATTTTTATCTTTTTCGCAGCTAGTATTTTATTTACTTTTACCATAAATTCAAGCAATTTTAAAGGATAACCATTCATTGTTCCACCAATATGAGATTTCTTTGGCAAATTTACAGAAGCGTTAGATATTAAAGGATCATTATTCAGACGCGGAGACATTAACTTCATTGCATATGGCGGAGAAGGTACATATTGTACATGTCTCGGTCTAAACTTTTGAGCAAACGAAGCAACGCTTATTGTTTCCGGTGGCTCATTTGACTGTAAATTATATATAAGAACAATAATATATATCAAAGTTAATTGTTGTTTTACTACAAAGATATGTACACATACCAATACTTCATAATCTGGAACACTATGTGTTCCAAGTCCAGCTCGTTCAAATGTAATTCTATATGTATTATTACTAGTATCCACTGCATCGATACTTCCAGTGAATAATCCATCTTGTGGTTTCCTCAGTCTTGCCGTAACTTTCGTACCTATTACTAATTGCAATGGTATTTCTGGTGGTAAATCTTTGAAACTATTAACATCCGCAGCTTTTCTTTGTTGTAGCATTCGAATTTTTTGTCTTTTTCTTTCTAGCTCTCGTCTTTCTTCTTCAAAAAACGATTGAGAGCACCGTCGTGGTTTACCCATCATCCTTCTTATTTTACACCATTCAACGCGAGTTAATTTCCGAGTTTTTAATTGTGGAAACGATTCCTTCAAGCATATCATAAAATCATTATCGCCTTCGAAAAGTGTTCTGTGGAGACGAATTAAATTTTTAATTACGTTACATTAAAATTTGAATGTACAGATATTTATAGTTCTCGTACATACTTATCAATGTTACTATAAAACCACTCGTAACAAACCCATTTGTGTGCTTTTGGTAACTTCAATAAATTTCTCAATCTCATACCAATTTTTTGTCCAATTTTACGATCTGGAGACGAAGGTTGTAATGGTTTATCGGGCTCTTTTTCCTGTTTAATTGGCGTCACTGCAGGCGTTAACGACTGGATTAACATATTACTATTTTTTCGTGGCTCGTTGTTTAGTCTATTTTGCTTTTTTGCTGGAGATGGTCTAGGTACTTTTTTGGGAGATTGTTTAGCGTCTGGATGGGATGGATCCTTTTTAATTCTGGAAAATATACATTAGAAATAATATGAATTAAAATATTTATCGTACATACGGTGTAGAAATTCACCTGTGATGTGGATGATTAACTAATATATCGTCGTAAAATAATTTATTTTTTTTTCTTATTCTTGCCGGCATTCCTCTCCGGTTTAGAACTTGAACTGGTTGAGTAGGAGGATTTGGCTTTGGCGGAGGTTGAGTACCTACTCTTTGAAGTCCTAAAGCAGCGGGACCAAGTTCAGGGATCGGATCAGATTCTTCCGTATCCATGTGCGAATCCATCGAGTTATTCGAGATTTGTTGATCATCCAAATCCATTGTATCATCATCTATTATTTCAGTTTTAATTTCGTCGATCGACGGATAACCACCATTTTTTATAGATAGTAATGTTTCAGCAGATTCGCCTAAGAAGGGGGAATTATTCGTGCATTGAAAGTGAAGAGAGTGAAGTGTTAACGATCTAATGCGATATTTTCATATTCTGTTTATTTCAGTTCATGCCCTGGTTATTACACACTCAAGAAATAGTTTTCCATTTAAATTGTTTGTACATAATAATTATTTAAATGCGGGAATATTTGACTAAGTATCTTTAAAAAATATTGTTTCAAATCAAATTGTACTATCATCTCTTTTCAAAACAATTTTGAAATTATTACTTCCTAATTACTAATAAAGAAAATAAAATTCAATGTACACAATTGATAGTAGTATCGGATATAGCTATGCATTTATGAGTATAAAATTCATTTGTCATTCCGCGACCATAATCATGTCGCATAAAACATTATTATTCGAATCGATGGTCCAAGAAAAAACAAGAATTCGATCGTTCTGCTGTTAGGTGAAGACATAACCAAACTTAACGTAGTTCCGTAAACAGTACGTATATTTATTGTATTAGGGCAAAAGTTGAAGTAACAGAACCATTGGCAGTACAAATATTGTGAAACATATTGATTAATATAAGCCTCGAAAATATTGTTCGGTAAATGATGATCGAAACAGTAAAGATCTTTGCCGTCCCGCTTGAATTGTGTATTGGTCATTTTTGAAATTTTAAACCAGATCTTTCTGAGCGCAATTAAAACACCAGCTATAAGTTCGTAAATATCCTTCGAGAAGAGTTTCTATGCCATCATTATAGATTTCGAAACATTCATTTTTCCCGTACAACTACTTTTCTTATTTAATTAATCTTTGTTAGATTAATTTTATCAAGAATAAGTTAACATTTACTCACTTTCAATCATCTCCGCCATGTTGCTATCAATGATGCATCATGGGTACGTATTTCCGCCGAGCTCACGAGCTTCGCGCTTCACGGTGAGTTTTCCTAGTGGTCTTTTTCCGTTGTTCCAAACGCTATGATTGGCTAGAACTTAGTTTTTAATGCTAAAACAATCTACACTGAATTTTTAAAAGTATATTAAAGTTGCAGAAAGTTGCAGAAAGTTGCAAGAAATTGAATGGAAATGAAACGAGCGATGAAATTCAACTAGTTCGGCAACGTATAAATTTGAAAAAATAAAGCTGTTGTTTCTACATACATGCAGACAGATCTACTTATTACGATACATTTGTTACTAACTTTAGTGATACTGATATGATATACTTTGCTATCAACGTACTTATTACCAGTGTGACACTAGTAACGATGAATTTACTTAGCGTTTAACGGAGTGGTAGGGAAAGTCGACATATCCTACCGCACGAGGCACATGTTACGCGGGGTCAGCATTTGATGCAACTTTGGGAAATCGATGAAGAACGTGAATCCGAATGGGTGCCTTTCCTTGTTACTTGTTACACTTGAACAGCTGAAGTCAGTCCTCGAGTCAATGGCATACAATTTCGAATCTCGACTGTCCAGGCATTTTCAGACGCTAAGAAAGTTCGTCGTTACTAGTGTCGCCGTCGATGCACTCAATTATGCCAAACTGGCCACCAGTCCATACTGCTTATTACGTACTTCGGTATTAATATAACTACGTATATTGCACATTACCATATTAAGAATGAATTACTTTTGGTCATTAGTGATGTCATTAGCCATGACTGAAAATATTATTTCGTTCGATAAATTCGTAACGCCTACCAAATATTGTAGGGATAAAGAAAGATTGGTAACAGCCGAGGAAAATGATGAGTATTTACTGATTAGTGTTGAGATTGATACAATCGTGGTGATGGAATGTCGTTTTTGGTATAAAACACTAATTAGTTAATAGAACAGGTTTTATCGTTATGATTATCTTTATGAAATAGCAACGACAATGAAGAAAGACAGAGAAAAATTTGGTATTATCAAGATCGCTACAGAGAATATCCAGAGAAAGTGGTAGAACTAGGGATGGACAATAACATGTCGTATAATAGAATCTATACTACACCCCAGCTTTCTTTAGTAATTAAGAATCTTGAGATCACGGATACTGGCATTTATTTGTGCCATGGTGAGGATGGACAGGAGATTGAAAATAAATTCAACTATAGAATTGAACGTAATACTTTCAACAAATTTCATCTAAGAAATTTCTTTAATTTCTTTTCTCTTTATCTTATTCATACTTGTACTATTTAACCATCGAGCGATACGCTAGTTAATTATTATATGTGAAAAATTATGCTTAATTAATATTTCATAAATTCAAATTTTAAATTATCATACATTTCTAAAGTCTTCGTTCAAGGTCTTACACCAGGACTAGTTTTTTTATTTAGTTTTCTTTGGTCCCATTATATGCACATACATATATACGTATATGTACGATTGATTAGTCGAGTAAGTATATTTTCTAATAGTGATTTTTAAGGACCACAGCATCGTACGCACAGAGCAAGGGAATATAACAGAATGGGAGAAATATCGAGAAATATATCTGGCACCGATTACTACTAGATTTTCAGTAATATTACATCGATTTTAATTACTTTCATTCACCGATTCGCATAAAATGTGTTTATCTATTGGATCTGGTTTATATTAGATCTCTCAAATGTTAGAATTAACTGAAATTCGAGACGTTGGAGTAACTATGCATGTAATTTCTGAATGGACACCTTGGAGTCCGTGTGAAAATTGTTTAGGTAATCGGGGCTATAAATCGAGCATAGGAAAGTGTAGATTAAAACGATTTATAAATATGGTAAGAAGGATGTCACGAATTCTAGATAGGACTACATATTGCTTTTATTATGTAGAATAGCTCTTATTAGTTTTGTTGACTATTTTCTGTTAAATACAATGAATTTAAACCATTGTTATTACTACTACAGACAATTGCAAATCAGAGCGATTCGACGATAGTTAAATTCTTCCGAAAAACTCCGTTATTACCCTGCAAGTGAGAAAATCGATTAAATTAGTATAAAAAGCGTATACATTTATAGCGTTACGAGTCGTATCGTATTTCATTTAAGATCTATTTTACTCGAAAAAGAGTTTCCTGGTGTCAGTATCGCGGTGCGGTATTTGCCAGACTTCATTCTTAAGGAATCCTGTAAAAAATGTGTACGCGGAAAAAAGAAGTGGGCTCGATCGTTTAGATACAAGAAACGATTTGTACTTGCAGAAGGAGCTTATCTCACTATCGTTTGTCCAGAGTATAATGTGGTTTTTAATTGTTGATCAAGTGTATTCACTGTTCCATACGACTATGTATTTTAGATCGAGTTTAGATACGCAAGTGTCGTGGAAGAAGGATTCGATTACATTGGAAAGAGGCATCCGTCGATCATTTCGTAAATTGGATCCAGTTGCACGCGTGGTAGTAGACGCCTTTGGAACACTTTATCTAATAGGTAACGTGCATCGAGTTTATAAATTACACCTCCAACGTTATAAAGTTTCACATTTTTCTGTGTCCACGTACACGCGTATTAGACGTGTCCATTCACGAGGAAGGGAACTATACCTGTACTGTCGACAATATTAAAGTGATGCAATTAAATGTAATTGTTGTTCCCAAAGTTAAACTATTAACGCAAGGTAACATTTTTATTAAACAATTGATAACGATAGTTAACTCACGCGATATAACGTCTGCGTTATTTGCGGTATTCATTTCTTCTGTTATACAGAATTTTTACGTCATTTGGGATACTTGGGATTTATATTTCTGCTGTGCTTGTTTTGCTACTGCAGTGGATTGGTTCACACGTACAGACGATGGTACAAATCTCGCGAAGTCGATTCAACGAAACAGGAAAGAACAGAACAAGTACCGTTTATCAATCAACAACAATAATTTGAAAAATGACTAAATAACACATAATAAATATTACGTATCGTATAACGCAGTAACTTTTGCTTTTATTCGATCAAAAGTGTAGTTACGAGTCATGCAGGCACAAGTTTCTTTTCCAAAAAAATTAACAAGATTATTGGATGATTGTATGAAGAAAGTGGGGGTAAAAAGCTGGAGTGGGACGCTCTGGCTTTAGTCAGATCGAAAACCCCCATTAAGCTGATGGTCTCCTATATCACGCGTATCTCGGGACTTCCTCGTCGGAAGATGTGCAAAATTTATGCCAACACTTGAGAGTTTTAATAATTATGTCTTGAAAACTAAGGATGAGCGTACAGAAACGTGTTCCGTTAAATTTCAGTTTATTATACATATTTATTTGAAAGAGATACAACAGTTATAAAAATAACGTGAAAAGGCTAAAAGTTTGGAGGGTAGTTTTGTTTTTTAAATTAAAGTTAGTGTCGCCAGAAGGAATACATGTCGTTTAAAAATTGTTGTAAAAGTTTTCTGAAAATCGAAGACAGACATTTGGCGAATGTTTGTTAGGAGTTTCAGTGAGTCGCGCGATCCCGTCTGAATAAGGCCTACTACCTAAAGGTGAAAGGAGGGTCTGGGAGGGACGACTATATGGCGTCGTGTCTGCTTCTCATAGTCATAGTTTAGTTCCAAAATGGCCGCGTTTGATCGTTCCTGTCTCCGCGTTGAACTCGAGTGTTGTGACGAGTGAGGGGACCGATCGAGAATACAATAGTGCCGAAAACCGGACTCGCGATAGAATGAATCTCGGGGTAAATGTTACCGCGGTACTCGCGATTCTTTGCCTGGTTCTACTTCAGCGAGCAACCGGTGAGTTTCGTGCACAGATTGCATCTAAGTGTGTGCGAGGAATGGCACACTTTCACCGCATACCGAACAGCGCATCCTTCCCGCGAAACGTTCCATTCCGTTTTGTTTCGTTTCGTTTCGTTTCGTTTCGTTTCGTTTCGTTTCGTTGCGTTGCATTGCGTTGTACATATCTCGTTGTTTTTCTCTTAAATCGCGCGAGTGCACCGAAATATGTACTTACACCTTTGACGTAACTGGAGATCTCTATCAATACGGGTGAGTCGCCTGATCGAACAAAAGTTTAATTTATCGTTGCTCGGTTCTAGGACTCCTCCGAAGATGCGTAAATTGCAGATCGAGAGGAGATTTAGGATCGTGCAAAGATCCGTTTACTATGAACTCGACGGAGATCGAAATGGAGAAAGGTGTAGATGCTGTCCTTTGCGCGTCTGGATGGTGCGGTAAAATAATCGAAAGACAGGGTATAAATAATGGTAAGAATGTAATAATCATAAATCATGTATTTATATGTTTCACGAGATTACTTTGCGTTTGAAAAGTATTCATTTTGCGTAGAATACGGTACTGCTACGCAAAGACTTTGTTTCCAACGCGGACCTGATGATGGCGAGGAGAGATGCGCCTACACAGTATGGAGTTACAAAAAAGTGTACATGTGTCTTTGTTTCGGGGATTTGTGTAATGGAACAACGACACCGAGCATTCCCAATGGGTTGATTTTTACAACACTTTGCATTCTCTTACGATGGTTTGTTTCGAAATGTTAGAACGTAATCGAATCTATGTACATATATCGTTGTATAAAAAGTTCCTTGTATCCGTACACGAAGCGAAAATTTTCACGAATAATCAGTTCGTCGAAGAACATTGATTTGTCGTCAAACTTGGACGAGTGAAATATCTGTAAATTTTTACGTATAATAATAATTACAGTGTTATTACGAATTTTAATATGTATGATAATCATAGTGAAATCAACGCGCATCCATTTAAAAGTATTGTAAATTTATTGTTGTCCCATCTTAAAGGCAAAGAGAAATAAATTTGATACTATTTTTTTATTCATTAACAAGATGCGACGTTGGTTAGCGAGTGTCGCAAAACAACCAATGCATTGGTTGATTGGTCAATGTTTCCTATAGAATGGAGAGGTAGGCCTCAAACTCTTGAGTATGTGGCCATGGAGGCCATTTTGTCTTCTTTCTTCTTGGTTCTTCAGAAGCGCTCTTTCGTGCGGAATATCATCGTAAAACAGTTCACCTTGCCCGTAAAGATATTTCACCGCTAACATTGCTTTTTCCCCAGTCAATAGATACGGGTCGTGATATTCTGAAACATCGTCGAGCATATAAATATGATTTAATTTCAGAAATTCTTGCTGAAACCGTTACCCGCGATATTACTGGTTACACGTAAATAATATACATATTTTTAAATGTTCGATACTTGATAGAAAAAAGATTAGACACGACGCCGTTAACTCTTTCTATTATTTTAGTTACGGCCACATTTCATCAAGATTTCTTACCAAGTCCGTTAGAAAAATCAGGTGTCGTATGCCTTGATTCGTGCGAACTGTACCCTAGGTCATTGATATCTACTGGCGGCAGGAAGACACCTACCGGCCATAGGGATTCCGCGTTTTCCGGTTTAATATATATGGGTATGTTATTGTTTGTCGAGCGCAGACGTTGCCCTATAGATACAAAATACAGACGATAACAGTTTTAATACTACATATTGTATAATTAAGAAACGTTATAAATAGGATAGTATACGATAAGAGCCTTACCAAATTGCCTCGAGCTACCTGTTGTGCTTCTTCTTCCTATGGAAACGTAAGACCTCTGGTCGATCGTTCGATCCCCTGTACGATAAGAATCAATTTAATTCGATGGTGCAAGATTTTAAAAACGATATGCACTCTAGTTGGATTTATGGACTAACCGTCTGTCGTAATACCGTGTTCGTAAACGTGAGGAGGGGAAATAAATTTCACGTGCACCTTTGAGAGGGGTAAAGCTCTGGTTGCTGCTATCGCAACTAGGAACACCGCCGCTTTCATCTGCAATTAAAATTCTCGAATGTTGAACCGCGTATGTACCACGGATCCTTTTTGAGAAATCACAAGCTGAGACCAACTCGGAAACGAAATACATAATCTAATTAAACGTTTTTGCCGGCGTAATCGACCACGACACACAGCGTTGTGTAGGTATATTTTTAAGGAGTCTCTTACCGTTCGCCGTAAGGACCATAGAAAGTGTCTAATATAAGTATACATATGTATGTATACGTAGAATTAGGTCAAGGTTCGCGAGAATAAAATTCCTGCATTCTGAAACGTAAACGTCGAAGAACCGCATATGTATGAAAAATTATTACGTAATTGGCTGACCCTGCAGAGAGACGAAAATCGTAACTATGTACTTATGTACATACATACATATAATCGCACGACTTTCGTCGGATGTCCATGTAAAAAACGAGAATGCTTGGCGCTGTTTAATCTACACACAGATAATCTGCTAGTCAGATTAAAAGAGATAATCACACTCACGATTGTCATGCTCGAGCATTTCTCGTTAGAGATTTGTACAGAGGCAAGCAAAGTCACCGCGCCAGTCATTCGTTTGCAGTCTCGTGTTTTGTATCATCGTTATCGCGATACACATAATCGATCATTTAAATAAACAATACGTCGGCCACCGATATGTGTGTTCGCAGATTGTACGAGTTTAAAAAGGAATCTGGAAGCAATATCCAATAGTATCTATGCGTGTGTGCATGCTGCGCGCAGATGTAAGTACGCAATAGATGATTAGGAATTGGTTCGCTCATACATGGCTTGCAGCAGCGCGTCTTCCTACGGATTACATAGATATCTATTCATGATTTCGCCACTCCGCGAACGTTCGTAGAAAGTAAACGTCCAAATGCTGTTTATATTTTAGGTGAAACGCCAGTCTCCTGCTACACTTATCGTCGCGTCCAAATACCTCTGATCAATTTACAGAAACAACGGAGATACAACGATCCTAATTTCTTTCTAATAACCATCATAACTCGATAATAAATCGGAACAAAGTTTCGAAGTTACTGTCGTTTTCATTCCTATTTTTAAGTACTCGTTGATCGGAAAGTTCCAATCTCGTCACTTGTTCTCGAAAATCGGGCAAACGGCTTCTAGAAAAGTTATTCAACGATCTTTCAAACTTTACGTTCCCGACTTTTTCATCGGTTGTTGTTAAACGATCGTTTCTACGAGTGGAACAGCGAATATGTACCTTGAATTTACCGGTTACCAACTATGTATTTGGCTCGTAATAAACTGTTGATCGAGAAACGTATTGTATACCTATATGTTCTCCCGACTTATGCTGATCTAATACGCAACGATATCGCGATCAAAACCGGATTGTACAATTTCATTACCTTCACATGGAAAGAGCGCATTTATGCTTTGCAAAGCGTCATTGTATCTACGATAGTAACGGCTAAAGACATTCGTGTGTTCGACGGTGCGTGTCAAACTACCCTTTCGCCTTCTTTTCCGCTCACCTTCACTTCGCGATTCGTGAGTAGAGCTGGTTCCTATCAATTTTCCCTCTATTGTCAGCCAACGAAACGAAATACGACGCAACGTCAAAATAAAGTTTTTTAACGTTCAAGGAAAGGCTGTTTCGGCCGAATATAACGTCGTTATAAATCGAATCGATGTAAAGAGATTATCATTCGCGAGATAAACTAAATTTAATTTTTTCAATCACCTGTTACGTGCGATAAGCAACCTAAAATTAATTCTGCCAAGATTACTGGGTAATCTTAACGTCATCGAGCCACGCGAGCGAAAGTGATTACCAACGATCAAGAAAATATCTATATTACAGATAACACGACGTTATTTTAACTATGAAAAGATTATCAGCGTTTAGTCGCATCAACGAGTCTCGTTTGTGTCGATTAACCCAGTCAAGGATCGGAACCTATACATACACTATATGTATACATATATTGTATATACGTAAATTGTAATTTATGACGTTAATCCGAAGACACCGATTTGCTGTACGGAAGAAAACAAATATATTTCTTAATCATTGGTGCAGTTTCATTTATTTTATAGATCTTTTTATACACACGCACGCACGCACGCACGCACGCACGCACGCACGCACGTACACGCACACTGAAAAATAATTCGGTAAACATTTATCGATAGTGATCGTGCCACCCACCATTGTCATCGCTGGAAGTTCACCGTCACCTTTTGAAAAACTTGAAACACTATTGTTCCGTTTATGTTGGTTGCTTCGACACTGGTTGGTTGTGTTAAAACAAACTTCCGGCGATGTGAATTCGCAAAGGAACTCGCGTAGCGTCTTCTGGACGCGAACAGGAACTGTTCCAGTTTAAATGTCTCGGGAGAATGTCGCGCGTAGGTTTCAGCATCCCCCTTCTCGTTATATACCCCACCTGTAGAAACCATATTACGAAGGTTCGTAACGACTAGCACGGGGACAGTGTAGAACTTTCATTTCGGTGAACGCGATGCAACTAGCTTTTATATGACTTTGAAATTACCGCGCGCGCGCGCGCGCGCGCGCGAATGACCAATGGTGGCGCTCTAATGTACGGCAGGGCAGAATATGTACCTAAATAGTCGGCGGGATGTACCCAAGTACATAAGTACTTACTTGCATGCATACTTACACGTTTATTTTCGAGGTACTATCAAATAGATATAAAAAGGGTAAGAAATGTAACTTGATTAATATCTAGTTGTTATTGCGTACGCAATAATTAATATCTTACATATTTCTCGTTAGCTTGTTATTTACGTTTCTTTTCTATACACGCGTGCGCGTTACATTTATTTCGTTCCAAGATCGTATTTAAAATAGAACTAATGGCAAAATAACTATTAACAGTGCATATTATATGTACATGCAAACGATGAAAAGTTTTATAAAGATTTTTTAAATCACTAATTCAATTGAAATTTATGTGTAAACGACATAACCTAAAAGACATGCACGTTCTTTCGCATGATCAGGATGTCTTCTTTTAATTCTCTACACAGAATGTGACGTGTCGGAAAAGTCAATGTTTCTTCTACGTTCGAAGCAATGCTTTGAATACTGTACAATAATATACATATAAATACAAAATAGGTGAATTTTAATTCTCTACGTCAGAGTCTATTGTGTCACAAAGGTCGATGTTGTTTTAATATATGAAGCAATATGGAATGTACTTTGAATATTGTATAAATAACGTGGTAAACGTCTTTTACTGTATATGCAGTATGCATTTCATTTTCTACGGAGAAAACTTTCCTAAGGATAGCGTCGCAGGTAAATATTATACATATATTATTAAATTCTATGGAAATTTAACAAAGGGTAAAGAAACAAATTACTATTAGTATTAGTATGTTTCTTTGGTGGCTAATGCATAACATATTGCATAGTTTGCGAAGAACAGGTATCGTTATAAATCACAAGATGTTGTACAAAATAATTTATTATTATCTACACATAATGGTATTATTCACAGAACCAAATTTATCATAATTTATACCACGAACAAATATTTTTCTTAAATTATGTCTGCAATTTTTGTTAGACGACAAACTAAACTATGTTATTAAAAAATATTCGTTAGAAATAGTCGCGTGTGGTAATATACATACTTACGTACGCAACTCTAGCAGTCTATTATTTAGTAAATCTATTCGATGTAAAAAATTTCTTAAAACTTGTAACGATAATAAAATGTTTTAATCTCTAACTATAATCTCATAATTAAAACTACACGTACTATTATAAAAATTTAGGCCAGCATTATTTTTACTTTGGCTTCACGCTATAATTATTAATCAATTTTAATATATCGAGCAGATCTGCTCTTAATTTGATAAAATTAACTAACAAGCAATCGCGTATAATTAAAAAAAAAAATGATAAAAATGTATAAATCTCGCGTCTGTAAGTATGTAGTCGCCGATCAATAGATTTATCATAAACTTTCTTGCGTAAATTAAAATTGCACGATCGTTAGAAGATTATAATAAATTATATCATGATGGAGTCACTACGGTTCGTCGTTCGTCTTATTAGAATTTTTCTATTTCAGGAGTAGCAAAGTTTTAACGCGACGTTAAAATGTTATGTTAATGGAGGCAGCAAAGAAAGTGTATTGATCTTTTGTTTGTTTCGTGAAGATACATTGTATGTACTCGGTTTCACGAAACGTTCACTCTCATAATTGATTCACGTTTTCGAAATTTACGTTCGATATTTAGGAAAGGAACGTCGACACGCAGTTTTTAGTTTTCATTTCATCTAGAGGTGATAACGGTTGCACGCACGAGTTCTGTAAAATTACGTGCTGGTGTATTCTTGATGTATGCTCTTTAGAAACCAGAATGCCATTGCCAAGAACATAGTCCCCGTAAGATCGCCCAAAGCCGTCAGATACGGTATAGCTGAATTATCCGGGTCAATTTTGTGCCGCCACATGGCGTGAATAATTATGTGCGCCACGTAAAGCAGCAACATGACCTACGAAAGATAAATCGCATATTTTTTTTGCTCTCTTGATGTAGCTGGAACCTTTCACTTTTTCCGCTGCAGCTTGAATCGGTTTGATGTACTCACTTGAAAAACGGCCACGAGGATGTAAGAGATCGCGAAATACACGTGCAACGTAGATTTTCCTTGTTTGAGGTAATCGGCGAGATAAATGAATACCAGTTCGCCGAATACCGCCATGGAGATTAGTATTCTGGCAGTTTTAGCGTACGGTGCTGGAGATCGAAAGCGAACAAGCGAACATTAGGCAACCGTGGAAGCGCGAAAAATATGTAGCAGTAACATTAGTTATTCTTGCATCATATGCGCCACTTACAGCCTTTAAAGAGCGCCGTCCATGGGGTAACCCACATTTTCGAGGAGTCCGGTAAAGTTCCCATAATCGATGTCTGATGCAACGTAGTTGAGATTCGAGATGCTTGTACAGAGACTAAATTACCACCAATTCCGTTTATGATAGGTTGAAAGATCGCGAATCCAGCCAAAGAATTAACGACATATTCGAGAATTAAACCGCCAATTCTGAATTAAATTGCAAACATGGTATAATACATGCTCCGTAAAATTAGTTATTTTTCGATTATAAACTAATTATGTTACGTAGTTGATTGTACATACTGACCCACTGATAAATAGAGCAGATAAGACAGGGACCCATCCGGACGTTAACACGTTTCTGGTGTATTTGTTTCTCAGAACAACGTAGATCCAAAATGGCAACAACAAGAAGTAACAGCCAAGTATCACGTATAAAACCCACAGTTGTGTCTCTATTTTCTCGAACAACGAGGATGCGATCATTGATAGAACACTAAGCGATACAACATCTCCGACGGACGCTGCTAAAGGTGTCGCTAAATTGTCAGGGTTCATTTTGCATCGATACGACACCATGATGACAGCTATCATTACAAAATCTGTTGGGAAGAAAGTTATCGATGAAAACGCACGATAAAGACGTGTTGAAACGAGCAATAAAAATCTTGGAGATTGCCTTTACGTCTCTTTTCTATGTCTGAAAATGACGATAGTGTGGGGGTGCGGGCGAACAGAGCATGCGTTTCGTTGTACGCGAATTTTAATGGAAGAAATGACTCGCTCGTGGAAAATAAATAATCGCGAAACATAACCGGTGATAACTGATAATTATTTACCTAGGATAAAGCAAGAACTGGTGGCGGTTGATACGCCGGATGCGGCCATTAGCAAACATTGTTCCCACTCGAAACTATGCTTTGTTATGCCGTTGACCGCAACTGCGAAAATCGATACCAAAACAGCGGCGACGATCGCTTGTATCTGTACCAGCGCGATGTTACCGATAATCATTTTCGCTATTTCTCGATACCCGTGCATGTTTCCTAAATTCGCTTGCGTGCACAAACGGGAAGCCAAACACATGTCGAGATTGCCTTTCAATCCTAACAAAGAGGGTACCATAATGAGCAGAGGTACTTTTTGAAACACTGTCCACTCCTGAAACAAACAGGTTGGTTTTAATTACACGGCGGAGTGGAGCGGAGCGGAGTGGAGCGGAGCGGAGCGGAGGGGAGCGGAGATGATGGGTTAGCGATTTCTCTGTTGGTTGGGTATTGTTACGAGCAAGGAACGCGACCAAAAATGCAAATTACATTCAAAGAATTTCTACATTAGTGTGGAAGCGGAATAAAAAAGGTTGGATCGCGAGTGTTTGTACCGACGAGGGAGGGAGGGAGGGAGGGTATTTATGTAAAAGATTCTTGAGATTATGACGGTGTTGTTCTGGGATCGTGTCGTAACGTTACTTCTATAACAGATAAAATGCACAGGCGCGACAAATGAGAAAAGACCCTGCCGCGCGCGCGTGCGCGCGCGCGCATTTAGTATTATTATCTTCAGACAATAAGAATCAAGTGCTCGTTCGATAAGAGTACAGAAAGTTTCAGGGAAAAAGGATATCTGATTTATGATCAGAGGTTGGAATTTTTTTAGTTGGGGCGTTAGAACGTACCGTGACCATTGCAAGAACCAGACCCGCTCCGATGGTGCCTATTCCGGCGATGAAGAATGGAACAGCGATCTGCAGGGTGGTATGATACCATCTTTCGTCTATGTGGCCGTTATTGCCGAACCCATCCGGATTATTACGAAAATCGGGATCAGGATCTGAATTTGCGATCGAAGAAATGGTCACTAGGTAACCTGGATTGGCGATCGGAGGCGATTCACCACCGACTTTGGGCAGTAAGATGCCCGCTTTGTTCTTTCCTCCGTTAAAGGTGTTTGTTCAAATGAAATCTGCTATCGAAAAATCAACCCATCTCGACCTTTTCGGAACGTTTACTTTAAAGAAATTATTGCGTCGCCGACCCATCCATTCTCACTCGTACACGCATACATATGTATACATAGAAGATGCGAATTGTTATTTGCGCGCGTTCATTGTTGTTGTTCGGCTGTATTCGCTCGCGATCCTACTGCGTCCTATTATGCTTTTCCTACTCCCGCGGATCGAACAAGTAAGTACATAGATGGGAATTCAGAAATACAGTTATCAAGCTTGTTATTTCGTTTTTGTTTGATTCTCACCGCGGGTTGCGCGAACTTATCGATACACGCCCCGGGGTTAATTAATTCTCTAGATCGTTGTTATTAATATATAAATCCGTTGTTGCTCGTGCAAACATCAATTTGTCTTTAACTTTTTTTTTACAGACGCTATCCGTTTAATGGAATCGTTTGTGGAACAAAGAACGAGCGAGCGAACGAGCGAGCGAACGAGCGAGCGAACGAGCGAGCTTTTGCGTTGTCATCGCAGCGACAATAAACGAATAGCCTACCGTTCCGCGCTCGATTCTCCCGACGATAGCGAATCTTTCGAAAAATCGTATGTCTCGGAACGACCTCGTAACACCGTACGTCGAGGTTATAGGTTGATTCGGGATCTTGTAGCAGCAATATTTCGCCCAGTGGTTGCTCACCTGGCACTTTTCTCATGTCATCCGGTTCCGCTTTAATGCCTGATGACGCATTCTGTGTCTTGTCGGTCTCCTTTTCCATACAGTCGAAATCTAACGCATAGTTATCCTTGCCGTTCCACGCGTCGACTCGCGATATGGTGAACGCGTGATCCTTAACTCTGGTGTCGTTAGGCATGTTTGCTAACTGTTCATTGCGATCCGCGTGATTGTTTAACTTTCCATCAGTTATGTTCAACAACGCCGTCGGTTCAGTCGACAAGTCCGGAAAAGCGACCATACCTGCAATTTTGATCGACCATTCGTACAAATTCTGTCCTCGCGAGAACGAAGCGCCGAGATAATTGGTCGTATAAATACATATACATATTGTATGTTCGTTAAACGAATCGATTGGAAATACGCAAGATCCCCCCAAAGGTCAACTTTCAGACGACGATAAATGGAACTGAACTCGGGAAGAATAATTTTCAATTGAATTTCTCATCACATACCGGATTCGCTGTTGGCGTACGATCTTGAAATATCGTCGTCGAAGTTGAGAAAACCCGGGATCGACTTGTGATAATTTCACCTCGGATCTGCCTATTTTCGTCAGCCTTGATCTGAAAAAATGTTTTATACGAAAAAGAAAATTGTAGGTAAATTTGATCGTATAGCTGTGCTTTGAACCAGAATAAACAGATTGTTTTAGGCTTATCGATCGTTTACGCAGCTCGTTAAATCTTATCGAGACTACGAGTCAATTCGATGATCGATACCAATCAGGGGTATATACGCGTTCCGCGAAACGAATTCACAGCTGGATAGCTGTGCTTCGCGACTCCTTTAATGTCCGTTGCTCTTCCTCTTCGACGCTTCGATAGCGCGCGAAACATTATACATATACGAGATCAGCATATACATAGTATCGTTAACGACACGAGGAACTTGGTTCTTGTATTACTACTAATCAGATTCCACGTGTCGGTGGACTTAAATTTCACGCGTGCGAAGAATGAAAAAAACGGCCGTGCGCGTGGATTTAGTCGAGAAGCCACGTGGAAGGCAATATACATACATACATACATATATGTATGTAGGTAAGGATATTTACGAGACCTTAGGATTTCGTAAATTTATTTTCATTTTATACGTTTGTTTGTTTGCTTGTGCCGTTACTCGGAAGCGGTGAAAATTAATTCGACTCGTCTGTTGTTTAACGACATAAATCTACCGCTAATTACTTTAGCTCGCTGGTTCCTTGCACGATGAATGAAGATAAGAATGTCGATATCACATTTGTCGAATTCTCTGATATCACATTTGTCGAATTCTCTGATTGTACTAGAACTACATACCTTGTGCCGTCGTATCGCTACTTGTCCCGGTATCTAGAGATCGTTTGTTCGTTTTACGTGTACACGTAACGAATAAAAAAAATATAGTGTCCTTCGAGTGATGCGACATTGGCGTAAAACCGAACGGTGTCGATGAATACGAATTAACCTGACCGCGGGAAAAAAAGAAAAAAACCAAACGACATAGAGAGAATACGATAATCGACGATTAGTCACCGTTTTAGTATCGTTTCTTAGAGAGAGAGAAAAAAAAAAAAAAAAAAAAAAAAGAAATAAATAAAAGGAACGTTTGTTACGTATGTACTTACGTAGTAACAATGTGTCGAGGAATTTGCGCCAGCGTGTCGACGTTTCCTAATAAAACGTTTATTGTTCCGTGATGTTCGATTGACCCTGCCACTTCTGCCTCGTACGGCTTCGGCCTTCTTCTTCTTCTTCTTCTTCTTCTTCTTCTTCTTCTTCTCCTCGAAAGAGAGCTCAATTTCTCACGAAATTCTTCCCGATGCGTGGAAAGTGGCGGGCAGAGATGAAAGTGTTGCTGTTTGGTCGAGTTCAGGTGGAGTACCGAGATCGATAGGCGATCCAGTGTCGTGAAATGTTAGGTGAAAAGCGGACAGCGGACAGCGGGCAACGCGAATAACGTAAAGGAAGCTTCGTGCCGGATATAAATGCACCACACCGCGTACAGAACCGTTTGCTTCACGCGGTCGTCGTTGACTGATAAAAGAAGCCTCGGCCCGTCTGTCGGTACTTGATCCGCTCATATACATAGGCACGACGCGTCGCGTCGTTTTGCTTGCTGTCCGAACATACGCACGTGCGCTATCTCGTTCAACGTTAGTGGGAGAGCCGATCGTGAATAGATTGTAGATCGTTAATTGATTCGCGACATCGCATAGTCGGAATCTCCGTTAAAACTTGTACCGATTATCTGCCTGTACTGTTTACAAGCTCGGTGCTCCCTCCTCGTCCAATTTCGATTATCATAGTCCCGTATATGCCATATGCTCCAAGCATTTGTTGACGTAACTCGAATTTAGCCCTGCTAGCTATTAGAAATATTACAGAAATATACATAAAACGCCAACATATCGTTGTAAAATTACATGTTCTCGTTCGAGTCGACGTAAACCGCGATCTTCAATTACTTTGTATCATCAAGCATCCAAGTTAACGATGTTTTTTCCTTATCGTTTGACATTCGTTAAATTATTTTTGATTAAAAGTGCGCGACCAAGGTAACTGACTCAGCACACAGAAAGGAATGTATAGTTAGAACGCTGGGAACTCTTCTATTGTCATTAGGTATTTTTCTCTATTTACGTAGAAACGAAGACTCGAGCGAATTTCTGACGCAAATATTGTTTCCTCGGTCGAATAGATCACGCGGCCAGCAACGTGGTGTATTGTCTAGTTTCTCTTTGCGGTATTAAGATGAATCGATCGGTATAAAGTTGCAGAGACCTATCGTTTTTAAAGGCATTAAAAAATAATTGGTATGCCGTGCGCGGAATTTCCGATTGATTGGGATTCACCTTTTATCGTATGTTTCGAACGGGGAAGTACTTACACGTATTTAGGAATCTATGAGCAAGCTTCGTCGATCAGAGAGTATACGTATGTATACGTATACGTATACGTATACGTGTATACCTACCGCGATTCGAAGAGTGAGCTTGCCAGGAAACAATGGGACGGCCATTATTAACAGTAATTACGTTAACGCGATTGCGCAGCAAAACATTGATCGCAATCAGTGTCGCGTTTAAACAAACAACACACAAGTTATGAGAAAAATAATGGAGACCGGAACACTATCTTGAAAGAATATCGGTCCGAGACATCGAGGATACCACGTCAGAGAGGCTCTCTGTTCCTTTGCGCGACGAGTCGTTCCCAAACTCACAGACCGTGTCATCCGGTACAAGACCCGACCACATACATATGTAAGTAAGTACATGTATCACTCGCCGCCGTTCTTTCAACCGTTCACCGGATCATTTTTATTCTTTGCAATACTATTTCACACCGGTTCGAGTGATTTTTTTAAACATAGCTCATTGCCCGTCGAACGATTCCGAGTATACATGTAAGTACGTATACATAATCTACTTGAACTTTATACGGTAAGATTTCGAAGATACGGCTGACGATTAAATGGCACTCGAATATACTCTCTGCGTTAGATGTTACTGTTATCGCGCCTCTAGACGATTCCCGGTATTGAAACGTACGTATGTACTATGTACAACTTTGACTCGACCACGTTCCATCATGCTCGGATGCTTACACGTAAGTACCGGTGACAATGATCGTTTCACGACAATTGTCACCAAACAAACACACCCAGCAGCTATACACAGGGCAAGTACAATCTAGCTACCTTTTGGTAACCGCCTAACGGTCGATATCTTTTCCGAAAGGACTGATACCGAGAGTAGAAAGCAGATAAACATGTATGCACGTACATACATATGTACATACATATGTATATAGTTCTACTTTGCTCGATTTAATCGCCGATCGAACAAAATATGAGATTATTGTGCCGATACTAACCGATCGTTATTTACCATCTCGATGAAATACCTTTTTTCTTATCGAGTAATTACTTCACTTTTCGTACGAATCCAAACACTACGATATAAACAAAGTTTATGGCGACTATATTGCTGGTTGTAAAACGTGTGAATCTCTTCTGCGATTTCTCAGCAGTAATCAGTACCTACTATAAAACGTGTCACGCATCGCTTCTTTGACCGTGATTTCACACTTACCGGGTTTCTTCTATAATAAATATCATTTCTCTCCATCTCCTTTATCTTTCAATTACCGTACTATCGTCATACGTTTTTTTTTTCGCGAAAGGAAGATAGTTTCTTCGATTCGATTTCACGGAAAAGAAACTCCCTCCGTATTGTTTCTTTGTAATAAACTTTGATTGAAATTTGTTCGTATCATGGTTAAGTGTCCGATCGATGGTTGATAATAAATTACGTATCGAGAGAAGAGGAATTAAATTTTTCAACCGGTGCCGCATTCTTTTTCAAATAATAACGTGTAATGTTTAACAATGCAATATGTTTCCCGCGTTAATTTACACCGCGAGTGACATTGAATGTGTTATCATCACCGATACAACTTAAGTGGCTAAATAATTGCGGTAAATTGAGGAAAACTCATTGTCGGTGATATATCCTCTTACGAGGCGACGAGTAAATGAAAATGCATGCGTCGCGTCTGTTAGAATTCCAAACGAACAGTTCAACACTGTTTTCGAATGTTTTTTTTTTTTTACGAAGAAATCAGAAAACGGAAATTCCGTTTTCATTTTACAAGCGGTTCGATAGAAAACCGATTAAACCCCCCTTTACCGATTCTACCGGCACGTTTGCCAACAAACAGTTTCGTTAACCGCCTCTTTTAACATACGAAGATACAAATTTCGATAATGCCTTTTAAAAATTTCGCCTTTATCAAAATTCCAGGATAATTTTACATACGGGTGATGTGAAATCGGTCGAGGGAACTGATAATAACAGAAACTCGATGCTGTATATGTATAAATCTCATAGCGAAGAGATTATTGCGATTAATAAGCCTAGATCGGAACATTACGTGTCTGCATGTATTTGTTATCGAACCGAATACGTCAAGTTACGGATCGGCTGATCATAACAGGTACCTATGTGTACATATGTAAGTATGTATGTAAGTAAGTAAGTACGAGGCGAGCGATGTCCGATCTTATATGTTCATTAGCGATTATCGCGTTGACCTTGTTAGACGGAGTAGTTTATCAGAATCTTTATCGATTCACTCTCGATTGAAATTCCATTTGTTTGATATCTATCGAGACCGTGTAACATTTGGGTTAAGTAATTAATGTATTAGAATGGTACGATTCGATCAATGAATATTAGGTACACTCGTAGCGAATAACGAATAATGGTTGTAAATTCGTTGCTACTGGTAACGAATGTAGTAACCAGCGAACGGTAGCTTCCTCTTGTTCGTCTCAATTGTCGATTATTTGAGAATCGATCTATCTGGTGGTATCTTGACGGGTTCTAATTTACGAATAAAATATCCACGGACTTTTCTTCGTTTACAAACCAATTAAACCTATACATACCTCTATACTGTAGGTACGATATTATTAATCGATCAGATATCGTTGTAATGGGTTCGATAAATGCGATAATATAATATGTGAAATTTATAGTGTTAATGTTCGTAAGTACGTGGCAATAACGTTACGCGTTTAAATTAGGGATAGTGCGGGAAGGAAGGAAAAAAATAAAACTGCACCGTTAATCATTATTAGACTATATTATTGGACGTATCCAACTATTCTTGACTAACAAATAATATTCATCGACAAACAACGAATCTCTATGAACTTACATTGTAATTTTGATTTTTTAATATTTTGATTCTCGATTTCCGCTCCTTCGACGCTTTGTACCCTCGATCGGTGTTAGAACATCGCTAACAATCGTTTCGAAACAATATCAAACATAGTTACAGGTTACAATGAACGTTAATACACGAGATCGTTTGTGCGACGTCGAATTACTTCCTGAATACTTTAGAATATCTTTCTGTTCTTTCTGTTCGCTGGCAAAAGTTCTTATTGGTACGAACGTGTAAGTATATGTATGTATGTACATATACTAGGTATCGCGAGATATCGTCTATCTAGCTTGTATAGAAGAATTTTTTTTAAAATGCTCTCTTTTCGATTTATATACAATTTGTATGCGGTTTGAAAAACGTCTGCACTCTGTATACTTACGATTCACAGATACAAATACTCTATAATCTTCGATCTCAATTAAATCGCAATAAACGTCTTATTCTAATAATTATATCGGTCTATTTGTTTCTCGAAAAAATAGAAACAAAAATTTTATGGATCAAGGCATAAATATTAGAACCTCTATCGCATAAGTACTTACAAATATACGTATTTAGATGAAAGCATTATATTAGGAACATTTGGTTTGTTGCATCAACTAACATTATGTTACAGCTAGCGTTATGCTTAAAACTATGGATTCCCATTGGTAATAAACAATCGATTCCTTTTTCCGTGGAAAATGATTCTGTCGTGTACAAAAGCTATCTTTCTACATATGTATATGTATTTCGAAAAAGTCTCGCGGTTCCGTCAACGTTTGCATTGTAAAAATAATGATTTTCCATATTTCGGACTTTCACCAAAAATACCTTGGGTACTATAGTGTGCTCTTATCGTGTGTTTATTTTCCGCTTGTTATTAAACATCAATAATAATGACCGATTACCTGTCAAATTTATTATGACGATACCGCACGAACAAAGGTAATAATTCTCGTCCCTTTTAATGTTCATCGTCGCGATCGTTCGCAATTAGCATATTCGTCTGTACGTGATCAGACAAAATTATGCTGGTTTTCTGCGATTACCACCGCGTCTTTTATGTATGCAGACACCAGCCTCCCAGAGGAAATTTTATTCCTGGATAACGAATACAAATCTTTGATTCGTCGTAAACTAACTTTCGTTTACGTTTTATTGGTAAATTAGAGTGAAATTGACGAATTGATTTTTGTTTCAACCGACAGCAAAGGTACATAGAAGCAAGCGAAACTGCGAGCGAAAACTATGTTACAAATTGATCGAAAATTTGTGTTCGTTGTTCGTGAATAAAATTGATCCAACGCTGGCACACACGCGCGCTCGCCTCTACTCGTGCATTTTTTATATATTTCCACACTTTTTGTAAATATATGCATATGTATAAATATTTAATAATTCGTCATCAAAACAATGTTTACTTGTACTTGTGGTTCACCGAACAGATACATATTCACTTTAATTACATTATTCAGAAAACTAACTAGAGGACCCTGAATCGTGGTACATACTTATCCGTCGTACTGCAAATACTTATCGCGATTGGCTGTATACTCCCCGAAATTTTGATTTTTTCTCAATTACTTATCCCTCTATGTAAGTACCTACGTTACGTATTACGATATCCTTAAATGTAGTTTCGTCGCTTACGGTATTGCTTAACTTTAGACGTGCAAACGATTTGTACATT